GGTGACAGAGCGCTGGAACAGGCTGCCCAGAGAGGTTGTGGAGTCTCCTTCTCTGGAGGTCTTCAAAACCCGCTTGGATGCAGTCCTGTGCCACGTGCTCTAGGTGACCCTGCGTGTGCAGGGGGGTTGGACTAGATGATCTCTAGAGGTCCCTTCCAACCCTAAGCATTCTATGATTCTATCATATGCTGACTGGTTCTAGGGCAACCTTTTCGTTTTGGGGAGTACTAGGCCTGATTAGCCAAAACTTAGTGGCTCTCATTAGGGTTAGGATTAGGGTTAGGGTTCAGACAGAGAGACAGCATAGAGACTTACAGAGATTGCGGGTGGAATGAGCATGCCAATGAAAGTGCAGCAGGATATGGTGACTGTTTCCAGGGCAGTCTTGGCTTTTTGGGCAGCACTAGGCCTGATGAGCCCATGCTTAGCGGCTGTTGTTAGGGTTAGGGCTAGGGTTAGGGTTAAGAAAGAGAGACAGCATAGAGACCTAGGGAGACTGCGACTGGAATGGGCATGCCAAGGGAAATGAAGCAGGATATGGTGACTGATTATAGAGCAGTCTTTGGTTTCTCGGCAGCACTAGGCCTGATGAGCCCATGCTTAGCGGCTGTTGTTAGGGTTAGGGCTAGGGTTAGGGTTAAGAAAGAGAGACAGCATAGAGACCTAGGGAGACTGCGACTGGAATGGGCATGCCAAGGGAAATGAAGCAGGATATGGTGACTGATTATAGAGCAGTCTTTGGTTTCTCGGCAGCACTAGGCCTGATGAGCCCATGCTTAGCGGCTGTTGTTAGGGTTAGGGCTAGGGTTAGGGTTAAGAAAGAGAGACAGCATAGAGACCTAGGGAGACTGCAGATGGAAGGGGCATGCCAAGGGAAATGCAGCAGGGTTCTGCACCTGGGGAGGAATAACCCCAGACACCAGTACAGGCTGGGGACCGACCTTGTGGAGAGCAGCTCTGCGGGGAAAGACCTGGGTGTCATGGTGGATGATAAGTTGACCATGAGGCAGCAGTGTGCCCTCGTGGCCAAGAAGGCCAATGGGATCCTGGGCTGCATTAAGAAGAGCATCTCTAGCAGGTCGAGGGAGGTGATCCTGCCCCTCTACTCAGCCCTGGTGAGGCCGCATCTGGAGTACTGTGTCCAGTTCTGGGCTCCACAGTACAAGAGGGATGTGGAGCTGCTGGAGAGAGTCCAGCGCAGGGCTACAAGGATGATCAGGGGCCTGGAACATCTGCCCTATGAGGAGAGGCTGAGGGAGCTGGGCCTGTTCAGCCTGGAGAAGAGAAGGCTGAGAGGGGACCTGAGCAGTGTCTAGAAGTACCTCAAGGGAGGCAGTGAGGAGGATGGTGCTGGCCTCTTTTCAGTGGTGGCCACCGACAGAACTAGAGGAAATGGCCGGAAACTGAAACATTAAAAATTCCATAGGAACTTAAGGAAAAATTTCTTAACAGTGAGGGTGACAGAGCACTGGAACAGGCTGCCCAGAGAAAGTTTTTATGAGCATTAGTTTAAAAAGTCAGTATGTTTTAATAAGAATATTTCTGACTAGTATGTAGCAATATTTTCTCCTTTTAGCAGCCAACTGTTGAGCTTCTTTATTTTGACAGCTCACTATTTATCTCATTTTTCTTTAGCATACGGATAAGTTTTTATGAGCATTAGTTTAAAAAGTCAGTATGTTTTAATAAGAATATTTCTGACTAGTATGTAGCAATATTTTCTCCTTTTAGCAGCCAACTGTTGAGCTTCTTTATTTTGACAGCTCACCATTTATCTCATTTTTCTTTAGCATACGGATAACTTGATTTTCTGATGTCAGGAGTAGGAAACAAACGAGTGAGATAGAAGTAACTCTTCCAAGCATCTGTGTCCAGTAAAAGGGAATAAAACAGTCCAGGTTCCATGCACATAGCTGCAGTCCTTTGTGGTGTATTTGGGGGAGAGATCAGGCTGGCAGCCTGCAGGTGTATGCAGTGTTCAGCTGACTTATGTGATTGCAGCACAGATGGTGCTTATGTGAGACCTGTACTGGGAAACCCTGTTGTTCTGACCGTACCTGAGCTCTAGGCCCAACCAGTCCTGAGGGGGAGGCCCTGAGGCAGAGTTTGCTGCTCGAGATAACCCCAGAGGATTTTGCTTTCTAGGCACGAGAAGATCAGGAAGAAGGATCCAAAGCACATCTTTGCTTCCGAAGAGATGAATGGGGAGGTTCGATTCAGCACCCACTTGCCGCAGCCCCACAGCCTCTGTGGGTAAGTGCCAAAACCCCTTGGCCCTGGCAGCTTCCTAGGAGAAACACTGGAGCTGAGACTGAAGTGAACGGCTGTGTGGTGCTTTGAGCTTTCTGCACAGGACTTCAGGAGGCTCTGAGCAATAGCCCTGGTGCTGCGTGTGCGGGCAGACGTGGAGAAGAGCCTTCCGGGTAGCTCTATGACGCTGAGGTGGCTATTCTGCAGACACTGCTTTGAAAACCGTTTGCTTTTCGGGGTATCACAGTTATTTTTGGAAGAAAAAAGTATTCCCCTCTTTATCTAATTGGAAATTGGTCAATCTGCTGTTCTATTAAGATGTTTTTGGCTTAGAGCAATGGTGAAGAAGGAGGAGGTAAATGTCCTGGGTGGCCACGTGCTCCTTCTTAGGGCTCCTCTGGTTTAGTTTGATTGTAGAACCAATGGAAAACTGGCTGCAACTGATGCTGACCTGGGATCCGCAGCAGAGGGGGAGCGGTGTAGAGCCCGAAACCGGCCGTCCCAAGTGTTTCCTGATAATGGATCACATCCTCAATTTGAAGGTAAGGAAACTGGTCCAGTATCCTGAGGACTGTTTCTCTTGGTACCAGTGAGTGGGTGAGTGTATGTACTGCATGCCCAGGCCATATCTGAAGGTCACCAGCTATATTGATCTATAGCTTTACTCTTGAAGCAGAAACGTGACCGTATGTTACTGTTTATCACATCTCAGGAAGGGCTCACTAAGTTCAAGTGATAGGGCAATATTTACTAGTAACAGTTTCTTGGCCTGTGTTACTGATGGTGTGACTTCCATGTCCATACACCATGTAGCTCTACCAGAGCAGAGAGATCATTCACTTAGCCCTTTCCCTCTGAGTAAATACTAGAGCTTTGTTGGAATGGGACCAGCTCTGGAAAGCATGTGTAGGAAACACCTAAGAAGGAACATTTGGTCCGATCTGGAAAGATTTCCAGAGGAATTATGAAACAGAAAATACTAGGCCAGTGGTCTGGTCAACATTTCGTGTCATGTGGTGGGTCCTTTCTCTTTGGTAGTGACTTATAACCAGATTGGCTTGTTCCTTTTACAGATAGTGCACATCCTGAATATGACCTCTGCCAAGATTGTTTCGTTCCTCCTGCAACCCGAGGAGAGCCTTCACTCACTTCAGATGCGCATCGAGTACGAGACTGGAATAACTACTGGCAATCAGGAGCTGCTCTTGGAGACGGGCATTTGCCTGGACCCTCGGAAACCCGCTTCCCAATGCGTTATCGAGGGGGTGGTAAGAATGATCCTGGTTTTCTCTGGGGCACATCCTTGGTGCACAGAGGGAGTTGAAAATCTATGGAAGCGGAGGGTCCTGTGTTTGTGGGATGCATCCAAATCCATTTTTGTGTGGAGCCTATATATAAGGAGCCTGGCCGCCAATAACAGTTAGTTCATGATGCGACCAGGATCCTCTGGGTTAGCAGGAGCTGCCATGGGGATTTTACATTCTGTCCATTCATATTCTCTCCTCTTTCCTCCCCAGAGAGGCTGGGATAGCTACATGGTGTATTTGTTTGATAAAAGCAGAACTGTCTACGAAGGACCCTTTGCGTCTCGAAGTCTCTCTGACTGTGTAAACTACATTGGTGAGTGAGCACCTGGGCTTCACAACGTACCTGCCTGCCACAACGTACACAATCCATGCTGATGGTATTTTCAGAGGAAACACAGGTCAGGGCAGCTGTACTAGTCGATTAAATAGCACAATTAAATTTGTTGGCTACACCTAAACACAGTATATTTTAGCATAGCCCCAAAGAGGCAGCCTTGACTATTACCAGCAGCTAAATGGGCACATCTTGCTTGATTCACTGGCCGAAAGGGATGCCTGGCTAGCAGTCTGTTGAGCAGAATGACATTTGTGGCACCATTGCTGCATGCAGATCCAGGAAAAAAAGTGGATTTGGGTGTGTGTTTGTTTTTGCTCAGCTTTTGCTGTTACAACCTTTTGGTCGTTACACCCATTACTGTCAGTCTTTTTTTCTCTGGTCAAACTCTTTGGTAGCCAGAAGAGTTTTTTCCAAGCGGGAATGACACCAAACAGGTGCTTTAGGTACAGACTTAGTGGGTGATTGCTGTGTTTCATGCAGTATCCCCTGTCTGTTAGGGCCAGGGAGCCAAACAACTCAGAGAAGTCACTGCCGTTTGGATCTTAAGAAGGCTAAGCTGCAAATTCAAACAGGAGGATGCCAAATATCTGGGTAGCTGTAACACAAAAAGCTTATGAATGTGTCAAGTTTGGGCAGCATCATGCAAATGCTGAGCAAATCTCACGTGGCTCCATCTCGTAGCCCAGGCCCTGAAAGCAGGATTGGAGGAGGTTACAGGCACCAGAGTGCTCTCGAGCTGCCCCTTCCTTCAGGTACAATTGTGCTTGTTTTCTCCTTTTTGCCTTCAGTACAGGATAGTAAGATCCAACTGCCGGTGTCTCAGCTGCGCAAGGTGTGGGCAGAAGCAGTGCACTATGTGATTGGGCTGAAAGAAGATTACAGCAGGCTTTTCCAAGGCCAGAGAGCTGCCATGTGAGTTGGTACTGCTCATTCACAAGGCTTGAATATTCTGTAAATACAGAGGCTGTTTGAAGGGTTGTATACGTCTCGGGAGGAGTTTGGATTGCTCAGAGTTTACAGCCCATGGTTCTGCTGCTCCTTACTTGTATGTTACAAAGTAAATTTGGGTTGGGAGCTTATTCCACTCCGTGAATTTTCCTGCATAGTGCCTGACGCTCATAATAACTGAAGAACAGGAATTGAGTTGGGTGGCAGAGTGAATGGAACAGTTTGTGTCCGTAGGATTTTGTCCTCTGATTGAACACCCCGTCCCAAAGTCTTGGATGAAATTTCCTTGCTAGCTGCGTTCTTCCTTCACCTGACACAACAGCTTCTTTGGTGCTGACCACCCAAGTCCCCCACCAGCTTTTCAGCTAACGTCTGTTGCTCTTGTTTTATTTCTTAGGCTGAGTCTCCTTCGGTATAATGCCAACCTAATCAAAATGAAAAATAACATGGTGTCGGCATCTCAGCAGCTGAAAGCCAAGCTGGAATTCTTTCATCAGAGCATCCACCTTGACCTGGAGAGATACAGTGACCAGATGGCTTATGGCATATGTATGTATTTGTGTAATACTTGCTTGGGCGTCTTATCCGATCCCACTATAAAGGGCAGTGGATAAGAGTTAATTTAAAAGAAAACAAATGCAGGGGCTGCCACATCTTTCATGTTTATGAGCGTGTGCAGTGGAAAGGGCGTTAAAAACTAGCGTCAGGACAAACTGATAACACTGATTGTAGAAAAAAAACATTCTGAACAGTATTACAGGAGTGGTTTTGCTGTGCTCCCTAATGGAAAGTAGCAGTGGTCTGCACGAAAGATGAGGTGAAAAAGCCCAGCTGGATTTCATGTCACAGAAATGTCTGGATTTTGTGAGTGTTGTGGAGGGGTGAGTAAGGAGATTCGTACAGGGTGGCTGAAGAAACAAAGCTGGAGTCAAAGATGTTGCCTGGGCAGAAAGGTGATGATGGAAAGTGGAAGGTGAACTGCGTTGGGAGAGTCTGTGTTTAATCAGAAAATAGCAGTTGTTGAGCTTAATGGTGGTGTTTAAAAGTCATTTTAAGTCAGCGATTGGAAATGGTGAAATCCTGTTACTAAAGATCTTGTAGGCGAGTAAAGGTCAGGGAATGCTGTTTTGTCACGAGTTTGCTGTCTAACAAACAAATCACCTTAAGGGAAGCTGTGCATTCCCAAACTTAAAATCAGAATATTCCTAATCTGCCTAAATACAGATTTTGGCATTCATTTGCCAAGCCTTCACCTGTGCTTATATCAACTTAGCTCGGTCCTATCTGTTTTTATTTTTGAATCTGTATCTGTTTCTAATTCAGCAAATCTGTTTCTAATTTAGCAAATCTTTTCTTCTCTTGAAGCTTCAGAAAAGATGCTCAAAGCCTGGAAAGAGATGGAAGAGAAGGCCTCTCAGTGTGCACAGGTAGGGGTTACCAGTCTAGCTCGGCTAATCTCTGTCAAGGAAGATGTGATGGAACTTGAACTGTCACACGTGCCATTGCTTTGTTGCTTCAATCTGTTTTATGTATGCTGGATGAGAAAATCCTTGTTACAAGTAGGTGCATTAACAAAGAACATTCCTGAGTTGCCACGTTGTTTGAATGCAGTGACTTGCATGAAACAAAGCAAATGTCCCTGGACTTTTAGCCCTTTTTGGAAGCAGAATTCTAGCAGAGTAATTCAAAACTGTTGATTACTTTTTTTCCAGAAAATTAGGAGCATCAACCAGTGTTTGCTCTGCAGAATATCAGAATTGCATACTGTCTGCAAACTGCATGGGCCCCACATGTAGTTTACACATATATACTATATATACACCACACATATATACTGAACACATTAATAACCAGTGTCAGAAATCCCCAATACATGTCTGGTGCCATGTAGATCAAAAAATTGTTAATAGTTGCTTCACCTAACTTAATTGTGGCATAAGATTGATCTCGCCTACGTGGCTTAGAAGAACGTGTGAAATACCAGAGCAGTGTTGCAACAAAATGCATACGGGTGAATAAAAATTCCTATGGTAAGGGTAGGAAGAAATATCTTTGTCTACACGGAAGCATATTTGGAGTGCAGAGGATGTGTGTGCTGTGCACATCCCCAGGAGCTGTGATGTACCAAGAGGCTGAGTTTGTTTCTCATTCAGTGTGGGTGTCAGAGATGGGGATCTAGATGAAACCGTCCCCTTGGAAGATAACTGTAGCCCCAACTGCAACAGCAGCTGCCTTGCAGTAGAGTCTTGTCTCCTCAGCTCTGCGCAGACTCAACCTGTTATGCCAACAAGTATCATGGGGAGCTTTATTTTTCTGCTCTCTTCATGTGTTTTTGATTTGTAGCTGCGTTTCCTCCTTAGGCTGAAGATATTGGCTATCTAGACGAGCAGATCATGGCTCTGCACACAGAAATTGTTGAGCTGCAGAAGAGCCCGTACGCGAGGCGCCAAGGAGAAGTCATGGAGAACTTGTAAGTCCTTGGCTCTTCCATGGAGCTTGTTGCACATTAATGGAGTTTGTGGTTTTGGGGATCAGATCTTCTTTTGTCTGAAAGTTGTGCAGAAAACGTTAGTGTTTGGCCACAGGAATAAACTCTTCTCACTTCCCCTGTACCCACATGATGAGTAGACCCGGGGAAGCGCAGGAGGGGAAGAGAGGACACTTTCTTGTCACTTGACCGTGAAACTTGGCCTTCTAAGAGGATGGGCCTAAGATCCTAATAGCTGAGTCTCCTCTGAAAAATGCAGAGGATTTTTTTGGTGTTGGAGAATAGTGAATTTTGCTGTGTTGTGTGAGCAAATTAATACATAATCTAAAAATTTGATTCAGTATTTCAGGTAATTGAAAAATCTTAGATTCAATATTAATAGTAAAAATAAATAAATGTGAAATACGGAATGGTATTCCTGAACCTAAGAAATGCTGTGAAACCCAAGAAGGTGCAGACTGTACCAGCTTGGGCTGTTGTTGAAAGCCCAAGAGACAATTATAAGAGAGGAATCTAATTGCCACCAAGGCTAAATAGCCACCAAATCTGTTGTCACCGATGACATTTCTGAATGACCCTGAGTGTTTTGAGTGGGAAATGTGCCTGTTCCTGGCATGTTCTCCCCACTCCCTCTTTGCAGAATTAGATCAGCAAAGCTGCTGAGCCCACGGGCTGCAGGAGCAGCCAGGCTGGTGCACAGGATAGGAGGTGGTGGAAAGGGGACACCACGTCTTGCAGCAATAGCCCTCACCTAGCTCAGCTTAAACCAAAAAGCTCTCTCCTGAAACATCGCTTTTTCCATCGCTTTCCCACTGAAAGCACCTCAGCTATTCACCAGGGGCTTAAAGCAGCCCCTGAAGGGTTGATTTGGCAGCCTAAAAATCCCCAAATATGAAGTGCTGCACTGCCCATCCTTAATGAGGAGGGAGGTGGGGGGCAGATTGGGTCTCCTGCACTTTGGTGTGTTTTTTTTCCCAGCTTGAGCAGAACTTCCTGCAGAGACTAGCTTGAAATTCAAAAATACCTCACGAAGAGACACATAGGGACCTTGAGTAGTAGCCAGGCTTACCTGAGGGGGATTATGTGCTCTTTTCTCTGTGTAGCAGGAAAAAAGAGGACCTCTGCCCTTTTCCTTGTCTGATTGAGGAATGCCCAGACAGATTCAGCAAGAAACAACTGTTTTTTTTTGTTTTTTTTTTTGTTTGTTTGTTTGTTTTGTTTTCTTGGATCACTGTTTGTTGATATATGTATGAAACATTTTCTTCTTTTTTAAGGGAACAGAGAGCCATAGACCTGTACAAGCAATTAAAAACAAGGCCTCCAGGTATGAAATCAGGCTGTCCAATGACTGTTTCGAGCTTAAATTCCACTACTAATTCTTATTTATCAGTGTTGAAAATACCACTTAGGACAAAACAAGTGATGGCATTAAAGTTAACCAGAGTCAAGGGTATACCTTAAGCTGATTTTTGATATTTTTCCTTGTTGCTGAACCCAGAGCTCTCCCAAACTCCTGTAGTTCTGCTGCTCGGACTTGGGTCCTTCTTACTGTTTTCAGACTTGAGGATTTGCCCTGACATTCCTCTGTCACCCCTACAACCCAAGCACAGCATCTTTTTAATTATTATTATCATTATCATTAATTTCTTTTTATTTTGCACAAAGTAATCAATGTCTTTATTAACCGATACTAATTTGACCCTGGGCATTTGAGTCCAGAGCGCTTCCTTGCTGAAAAAAAGATTTACTAATGTGGTGGCTGCTGTCCCTGTCTTCCAGATCATGCCTACAGTGACAGTACAGATATGGTGAAGATTATTGTGCAGACAGTACAGAGCCAAGACCGAGTTCTCAAGGAGCTCTTCGGTCATCTCAGGTACTGGACAAATGCAACTTCCAGCGTTGGTTGCTTTGTAACAAGAAAGGAAGGGGGAAAACTCTGGAGATCAGCGCCAAAAACCTTCATTCACAGACACACGCTTCTCCCAGTTGAGAAGCCGTGTTGAGTTTGCACTTTTTAAAAGTCTTTTAAAAGTCTTTCTTTTAAAAATCATAACCTGTGCTTTAATAGGGAAGATCAGGAGGATGCACTGGCTTATATATATTCTTAGCACCCAAGAGGTTGCTTTGAAATGAGGCAAATTCTGCAAGTGTTTATGTTGAGATTTAGCAAACAGGATATCTCGGTGATTTGTTCATTCCTTCCAAAAGCAGGTTTAAAAATAAATCATGGTGAGATCTCTTTAGTTAGCAGAGTTTAGTTTTGTTTTCACATGCAGCCCAGTAGATCCTGTAAAGAAAGTATTTTTGCTGAGGTATGGTCAGGCAACAGGATGGTTGGGAATGGTGAGGATCAGTGTTTTATCTCGAATAGGAAGAGCTTGTCTTCTGGCTGTTAAAAGTGCTGTTGCCTGGGTGCCTTTTTGAGAGTCTTAACTGGACTTGGAAAAGTCCAGGGATCCTTCCAGACTTCCAACTTTTGTACATGTGTTTCCTTGAATCCCAGGATGGAACCAGTTGGTTTTGCCAGAGCATATTGCCACGCAAGCTGGGAAGTAACGTGTGGTTTGTTTTTGCTATAGCAAGCTGCTGGGCTGCAAGCAGAAGATTATTGACTTGCTTCCAAAGATTGAAGTGGCTCTAAATAACATCAAGGAAGCCGACAACTCAGTGATGCAGATGCAGGGTAAAAGACAAAGGGAAATATGGCACTTGCTGAAAATCGCTTGTGTAAGTAGTCTCTGGATTCGTTGTTTGTCCTCCCAGTGCAGGAACCAGGGGGCAACAAATGAAGCTGTGAAGAAACAAGCTAAAAACAAACCAGAAAAAGAGAGGTTGTTTTTGTGGTAAAGAAGACACAGAGTTTTAGTTTAGTTTTTCATGGAAAAGAAATCCAGTATTTTTTTTTTTTTTCCTCTAGACTCAGAGCTCTTCCCGATCACTGGTGAGTGCCAGTCTGGAAGGGACAGCAGCAACTCCAGCAGCCACGTGGCTCCCCCAGAGCTCATCAGGCCATGTACCTCATCCCCTTTCATCCATGGCAACTGCTGGAGATGGGTAAGGGCTATGGGGAAGGGGCTGCAGAGAAGAAATCAGCGTAACCACCACGTTTCCCTGTGTGCGGGTCTGTTACAAGGCCCGGAAAAATCAGGAAGCCTTCCTACAACTTCAGTGACTTTTTAATAGTCTGCATTGAATTGGAGGTCTGAAGTTGAAGTCTGTACAAAATAATCCATCCAATTGAATATCTGCTGCTTCATCTTCCCCCAGAAAATGTTCTGGTAACTCATGTGTTTACTAATGCTCAAAAAAAAAAGGATTTGGATTGAAATTTTATTCACAAATCTCTATTCATTCTCTGAGCAAGTTTCACTTACCATTCTCAGCTAAACTTTATGACATCCATCAGTGAATGTCTTGCACTTCATGTTATTTTATCTCGGGATAGTCAGTCCTATCTGAGGTGCTGAGAGAGATGTTGGGAGAAGACCTTTTTCTCTTGTCACTTTACCAGTGAAGCCTAGCAGAGGGGAAGAAATCCTCAAGAGATCTGCAGTATTTTGTGGGATATGGAGCAAGCCGTATAAATGGGGCATTTATTTTATCAAAGTAACTGGCCATCTCTTGCTTTTCGGGTGACAGGCAGAGATCTAGGTTTTGAAGACGCACGCTTCCTAAACAGGCTCTCACTGGAAATTGGTTAATTTTTCTGAAGCTTTTTTGCTTCTTCTTCTCTGTCTGCTTCTGCAGGGTAAATTTCACCTTCTGAGTAGTGAGGAGTGATCACCCTTGAAACAGGAGGTGCCTTTGTGAGCAAAGTGCCCTCGCACTGCCTCACTCCACTCCATATGAGGAGTTGAGACACGTAAACCTCACGGGGAGCAAGCAGTCATTTCATACTCCTTTGTGCTGTGCTCACTTCCCAGTTTCTGTAAGGGCTGAATTTCAGTGTGATTTGTACAGTTCTTGTGTAGGAAAGGGTAAAATCCACACTGCCAAGGTGGAGAGCTGTGTGAGCCGTGCCATCCCACAGCATGCTACTACTTTGGCTTCTCCAGGGCAGCTCCTGCAATCACAGAAATCTCCTACAACTTGATTCTATATCCTGTGGAAAGCCTACTGATGCTGGTGTTGGTTTGTGTCTTCAATCTGTCTTCTTATGCCTTTCCTGCAGGGAAACGTTTGCCCATGTGATAGAAGAGAATCTAAATTATCTCGACCTCTTCAGCAGTATTTTGCAGGAGGCAAGGCAGGAGCAGAGCAACAGCATGATGGTAAGCCTGTCAAGTGTATTTTTGAGGACTATGATTTTTTAAAGAGTCATAATGGGGTCCCCTGGGGGCATGAAGAACTCCCGAAATAGGGTTATTCGTGATGATGTAAGTTATTGTGCTTGGCATGTGATGTCTGTCATCCCTCCCAGGATTCCGCTAACAAACTGGTCCTTCTGGAAAGCAGCATTTGGAAAAAAAATGTTGGCCGGGGGGTCTTCATGAAGGGTTGGGCTGCTCTTTTTTGGGACCTTGCTCTGCAAACTGATCATACCCTCGGCTAGAAGGTTCTCACTTGGATCCCAGCACTGAAGTGGGTAGAACCCTCCATCTCCAGGGTCCTTGCCTGATTATTAAACAAAGCTTTTCTTGGAGCGAAAGTGTATTTTAGAGTGATTTTTTTGAACAAATCAGCGTTGGAAATAGGAAGAAACGACAAAAGAAGATCATGATCCTTCAGAAATTTTGGAGCAATGTGTAATGCCAGTCCTGAACTGCTAACTGAGGCTGCTAACTGGCTGCTTAGGGCTTTCTGTAAAGGGGTCAAACACCTGAGAAGGGAGCTAACATCTCGTACAGTGTAACTCGGATTTCTATAAAGCTTTTTATGGTATCTCCTTAGGGACAACTTCTCTTCTGTCAGGATAAAGGATTAAGGCTTCTCTTACCGATTTGTACTGCTTAAACCGTGAGGGACAAAGGCTTGGAGGAGAGGCAGTTGACGAAACGAAGCTCTTAGGCTTTGTAAATAGCATTTAAACATTTTAATTCCTGAGCATTTTAATGTTTGTGAATTTTAGTAAACAAAGTGAGAGCTTACCAGAGTTGCTAAGCTGTTCCGGGTAGTGAAATGAAACCTGCAGTTAGGAGCAATTGCAGACAATTCCATCCCACCGAGGGATGAGTAATAATACGAAGGGACAAATGAAATCAGCCTCCAAGAGAAAGCAAAGTAATTATGTAAGGGGGAAAAACAGCCTGAATTATGCACAGCCCAGTCTTCGGCTGTCGCGTGAGGGCTGTCGTTCACTTCTGCCAGGGCTGCTGTCACTTGTGTCATACAATCCCTTCCTGTCTTGCTTGGTTTGCTGCTTCCTGAGGAAAAAGAAATGGGAAGTTGTATAAGATGGGCGCCGAGAGGCCTTGGGCCGCTGCTTGGGAAACGTGCCTCGACAACCGCTTTTCCTGCACTTCAGTTGTTGCCCTTCCTCTTCCAGAGCCTCGAGAGCCTCGACTGGAGCTGGCTGAAGTAGCCCGGGGAGAGGAGCCAACCTCTGGAGCCGCCCTGGGCACCTGGGAGCAGAAGAAGGAGCGGGTGGCAGCCAGCGCGGAGCGTTCGTAAACGTTTGGCTGCCAGGGCGGCAGCGGTGCCTGTGCCTTACCCGGGGAACTGGCCTCCATGTCGGGGTGGTGGTGGGGAGGGGGACACAACATGGCTGCCTCAGCCCCCAAGGGCGTGGGGGGTTCCCTTTCCCCCCTTTCCACTCTTATTGTGTGCATTATGTAAAATGTATATATATAAATAGAGAGGCGTATTTTGAATGGAACGGTCTTTAATAAATATTGCGAGGAACCTCCTGCCGCTTCTCCCTTC